TTCCTTGCCAAAAACTCCCTCAAGGTGGAAGCAAACATGCAAAATCATAACAGAAAGAACAAAAGGAAAAGAAACAAAGAAGGCAACACGATTACCAGTCATCATAAAAGCATTCCCAGAAATCAACTTCTGGATAATTCTCCACAGCTTAACTGACCCAGTAAGAAAGAAATTCACGGCTAACCACCAAGAAAACATAGGAGAAACAAACAGGTTAGAATCAAAGTGAATATAAACATTAAAAAACTTCTAGGATTGAAAATCCAACATAATCCAGAAAATCCTACATCCGCAAACAAAACAAGGTCCCCTCCCAGCAAGGCAAAAATGACACAAATAATAGAGACCTGCGAACAGAAAAAGAAAACTTCCAACTGAACAGGACCAAACAGCCCAACCAGCAAAGCACAACCGAGCAATGTCAGAAAAAAGACAAAAAAAACATAAGACTAGCCAGCTCTAATATAAGGAAGACCCAGTTTATCAAGTTTCACCAAACCTCTTAAGAAAACAGGCAGATTAGAGGCTTCAAATTCTCTAATAGAAGCACACTGACATCCCAACTTAGCCAACCAACTGCACAAACATTTCCTTCACGAAAAATATGGGTCATGGTGTAATTCAGATTTTCAAGCAGCAACTTGACTTTACGGATCATATAGAAAAGCTCAGGGTTACCCAAATTCTTGTTTTGAAGAATCTGAATTAAGCTTAAGGCATTCACCTTAATAGCCACATTTTGAATGCCTTTTTTAAGACACGGCTCAAGACCAAAAGACAAACCCCTAAGCTCAGCATAAATGACCTTATAGTGAATTAAAAGAGAAGAGTAAGCAATAATAACATCACCTTGGAAGTTACGAATAATACTACCCATACCCGCAGCATTTACAACCACTGACCCATCAAAATTAAGCTTAAAAAAGGGTGGTTTGGGTTTCAATCATCTCACAATTCTGTCAACAGCATTATAGGAAATAGAATTCATGGAGATACCCAAATGCAAAGCCAAAATTGCAGCATTTTTAAAATTTTTTTCAGAGATCATATTAGTGGCATGAAGCTGCAGAATCTTAAATTTAACATTAGCAATAATATTAAGAACATCCATCTTAATATTATTATGCTTAGCTTCATTCCTAGCTTTCCAAATATACCAAACAATAAAAGTAGGCATAAATGAAATTAAATGAAATTCAAATTAATACTACCATAAGCTTTGGAAATGTCTAACTTCAAAATTAACTTATGCCCGACAACTTTTTTATGAATTGAATGTCATGAATAATTTTTTTGGCAAAAAAAAAAAAAAAAAACGTTATTAGAAGTACTTCTCCATTTAACAAATCAATTTGATTCGAAGATATATCATGAATATTACATCCTCCATTCACTAAAATTTTGAGACGGAGTTTAAAAATTAAAATCTGGCTCTCCAACTCCTCCAACGCCATGAATATGCTTCTTTGAATTTATGTATGATTGCTTGTTCTTCTCAGTCAAAGTGCCAAAATTAATGTTACTCTTGACCTTCTTTTATAGGCTAGCAACTAAAAAGGTTTCCATTCTATTTTTAATCAATTTAGAATTTTCTTCAATTTGATTCTCGTTTTCATAATATATAATACTCAGAATCATAGTGATAAAAAATCTAGCAGAAAAAAAGAAAAACAAACTAACAAATATGAGATTTATAACCCTTCAGTCCTCTGATTATTTCTCTCATTCTTCATTATTTGAGCTTTGGTTTCATTCGTCATTTGCTCATATTCTCCAGGGCCACATATCCATACCTCTGATATAGGCACAATCATGTCCTCAACCACCAAGGTGATGATGATTATTTCAATTTTATTTGACTTTGGAGTCTTCACAACCATTCTTCAATGCTAGCTTTGACTGAAAGACTTTTTGATACTCTATAGACCAATATGAGAACCTCCCGTTAATTAAGTCCTTTGAAGTGCTTCAAACTTAGCAAAAAATATTAGCAACAAACCTGTGTTTACCTAACGTACACAATTGTAGGTTTTCTGAATGATCTCCAATAGTTTAGAGATAGTTGCATTGGTAACCTTCTTAAAGAGGCTTTATCTAAGCCTACGTAGATGAAGAAGAGCACGCACTTGTCCTCCAATTCCTAACATCCTTCAACCACTCCTTTTGTCTTTCATCAAAGTTGCTATGCTTTTCTAGCCTTTCTCCACTGCGTCCTAAGTATCTTTGGAAAAAAAAAACAATCATTCTATTGGACGCTCCACTTAATTGTAGATTAAAATCACTCACTGTACATCTCCTCCCAATATTATGTTTCCCACCCAATACATGAAAAGCGCCTTGAGATATTTTTTAAATTTTAATACAAAAACTTTAATTTTTTGTACTAAAAAGCTGCTTTAAGAAGCAATAAGAAAGCTGTCCCAAATGAATACTAAATTAATTCATTTAGATTCCGTTTGAGACGACTCTCTTGTTGCTTCCAAAATCAAAATTTTAACACAAATTCATTGAACTAAAAGCATTCCTACTAAAAAGCTGCTTCAAAAAACAATAAGAAAGCCATCTCAAACAAATCACTGGACTCTTGAAAATATGCATGTAGAAGCACTTCACAGGTGTAAACAAAAAAGTCCTACAAATTTCAACAGCTTTTTTTGTCATAAATTTTGGTTATCCAGCAGCCTCAAGACGCTGAACTTGACATTTCAGCTGATCAATAAGAGCTCGTTTTTTTTTTTTTGGAAAAACTCTTTTATGGGCGCAAATTTTGTATAATCAAAGAAAAAATAACAAAGTCTTTAATGGCTTCCAGAGCTACAATCAAAACAAAAAATAAACCCATAGAACACAGTCTTCCAAACTAAATACATCATAAATAATAAAAATTAAAGAAAGAAGATAGACAAAGAAGCCAAATCCAAAATAAAATAAAGTCCAAGCTTGGATATCCATGAAGAAATTCCATGAACCAGGAAGAGGAACCTGCAAAATCATAGGAGGCCACAAAATTCACCAAAACACCAGACCAGCTACACATATCATCCAAATCTTAGGAAAGTCCATAGCCTGCAGCACTCTCCAAAACATAACCAGAGGAGGTAGAATCAACACCAATCAATTGGCAACCAATAATAACAGCACCATCCATTAATAGAGAGAAACAATGAGACAAACAGGAACTGTATTGCTGAACTTGAAATAGTTTTCAAGCTTTTCACTAACATATAAGGTAGAAAAAAAATATTAGGACCTATAAATCTATCTCCCGATCTCTATGATGTCATTTGAAAGACAATTCCATATGTTTCCTCTGTGCAAAATTAAAAAGAAAGGAATCCTATGTATATTTTAAGCTTCTAATGAAATAAATCTACGCAGGAAGGTGAGTTTTTATTTGTTTAAGAATATCTGCCATGCTAAACATGCTAAGACTTCCATTGACAGAAAAAGAAAATAGAATAGTACATAATATTCTGAATTATTTTTTAATTAAAATACGCCACATCTCCTCGTTTCTTGTTATTCTTTCTCTTGATTTTTTATGAAGTCTTACGTTAATGGCTGAATCAGTAAAGATGACGGGTTGTTGAGCACATCCCTATTATAATTTGACTAACAATATTTTCTTCTCTCAGTCTGAAACAAAAAAGAGAAAGAGAGAAATGAGGTGATAATAAATTGTCTATTAATTACACAAAAATTACTGAATATGTGAAAGATAAAGAATTGTTGAATTTATAAAAAATAGTGTTTATTTTGCATGAAGAAAAAAATATTCTGATTAAATTTAATACTCAGAAAATTGAGGAGAAAGAGAGAGGCTCATGCTGATTTGAGAAACCTTCTTATTTTTTAGTTTTTTTAATTATTATTTAAAAATATAAAAAAAAAATCATTATCTTTTGAATAAAAAGAATTCTTCCTGTAAGACGACCTCGGTGATGCTGTCAAATCAATAGAGCGAACACTTAATTTTCTATTGCATCGTATTGTTCTTTATGTTAAATATAGTAGATTTAGGTTTTATTTGGGATAATTTTTTTGCTATTTTATAAAATTATTTTTTAGTATAAAAGTTATTAATTTTAAAAATTTTTGTAAAAAAAGTTGTTATACAAAACAACAAATAAATTGTCTCAAAAGAAATCTTAGACTTTATTTTTGGACTGCTTTCTTACTATTTTTTAAAATAATTTTTAACAAAAATTAATTTTTTCACTAAAAACTATTAAAAAAAAGGCAGAAATAAAGTCATCCTAAATAAAACCTATCACAAAAAATCAACTGAGCCCACTCAGCTGCTCGAGTTAACCCAGCCAATCATATTACAAATTTTAATCAGCATTAAATTTAAAGCGCGTCATAAATTGAAGAACTGATTTATGATTGAAGGATCGAACCGGCCGGTTCAAGCCGGATTTTTAAAAGCATACAAAGATTGTCAGCTCGCCTATCGCTACCCTCCGTGTGCATGTAATGGAGGCGGCGCAACAATTTTGTCGTCGCTCGAGCGTTGACAACGACTGGCATTGTAACACGTAAAGAACAAGAGCAGACTGGTACATGCCGCCTACGTATCACTACTTGCCTATAAAAGCCATAGAGGTTTCCTCCGAGCCTTCCTTCCTCCAGCAAATATATATTTTTAAAGAGCAAACTCGTACGACTTGCTGTGCCCCATCATATGGACCAAATCGCCATTTCGACGCCTCACCTCCACCACCTTTTCCTCATCTTTTTCCCTCTCCTCTCCCCTCTTTCTCTCTCTCTCTCTACTTTTGTTTGTGACAAGAAAGATAACGATTTCCATCAAGTTGAAAAGGTGGGCAGCTCTAATCAAGCATTATTAAAAGAAGAACACCCCACCTCCTCCATCCATCGCGATGCAAAACTCATATTTTTCTTAACCGCATTAATGACAAAGAGTGAGAGATATAAGAAAAAAATGGCGACTTTTAATACGAAATTACAAATATTGTACAAATGACAACGCCATCTCATCTCAAAAACCATTTTTTTATTTATGTATAATCAGTGAAGGACAAAGATCGCGTCGATCCATCCACTTCTTTCATTAATACACACTGTTTAATAAAATATTAAGTAGTAGTACTGTTCCAATTTAGAAATCTTTCAGTCTCCCAATTCTAATTATCCAATACCTTCGGTTCGGTACGTTGGAAGAGCTTTCATTAAATAGAAGCATGTGATACATGGCTGACGTGGTCGGAGGCCGACGACGCAGCTGACTGCGTGAAGCTCCAAAGATCTCCCTCTCCTTCTCCGCCGCCGGAGCAGCTTCCGAGAAGTCTTCCAGTGGCGGATGGGTAAAAGGAGAAGGCATTAGCGTCATCGCCGTTAAGGTGTGAAGCGACAAGCCGGTCGAGGGCAGCCCAGTCGCTGAGGCCGGGATCGTGGTGGAAAGGCGAGGGCTGCATGTTGACGACCTCTGCATGGTAGCTATTGCAAGAATGATCAGTTCCGAGAAGGGAAGGGTAATCACCTGCCGAGATCGGCGTCACCGTCGTTGGGCTCTCCAGTGCTGGCAGCTTTAGAAAGTGTTCGTGAAGGTTAGCGGTGGCTCCGAGAATGGTGTCGATGGGGCGGAGATACCTACTGCTTATTTTGCTTGTGTTGATGGTGCTCATGACCTCCCTCTCCTGTTTGCAGGATCTCCCCATGTATTGAAATATTTGGTCGAGCGCACTCTCGCTGTTTGTATGAAGAAGAGGAGATTTGGGATCAGTAGTGAATGAAGATGAATAATTGTTATTTGAGCTATCCAATATTTTGTTGAGGCTCTTTTTCTTGAAGACTCTACAGACAACCCATCCTTCCTCTTGCGTTAGAGAATCTCCTATAGCGCTCGAAATCTGCATGGATAGGTTAAATAATAATGAATATACTATCTTGAAGGTTTATTCATTTGACATGGAATGGAATGGAATATACGTTGGAGAGAGAGTTGGAATTATCAGAATGTTCTTCGAGGCGGTATTCGTGCATGATCCAGTCAGATTTCTGGCCATGAGGCGCTCTGCCCTTGTAGAAGACAAGCGTCTTCCTCATGCCGATTCGTTTGAAGCTGGCATAGATGACTTTGTCGCGGCCGGTGGCTTTCCAGAATCCGGCAGCGGTGGCGCGGTTGGTTCTTGTGCCGGTTGGGTACTTCTTATCTTTGTGGCTGAAGAAGTACCAGTCATTCTGTGGCGTGGATCCAATTCTGCACTTCTCTGTAACAACAACCATAAAGTATATAAATTTGTACCAAATTTAATTAAGAGTTCCATACCAAACATACTATTCTTTATTATAATATATATATTTTCCTAAATTAATGGGGGGACAAAATTCCTATAAAATATTCCTCACAGAATTTTATAATTTTTATATTGTTAGCTAGGTAGCCATTAGAATGAGTTTATAATGAATAAATATATAAATGAGCCACAAATACTCCTACATTGCGCTCATCCGAATCATAATTCAAACATAAACAAATTAACATTCTTAAAAGCATCTAAGAATACTTTTGTCAATACACTGACGGGGACGACGAGAGCCACTCGATCACTACGCACCCTTCCATGATTGTTAATGGATTAATAATGGGAATTGGGAAGAGATTAGTAGACCTTGAATGTCCCATGGCTCGAGTTTATTGAGATCGACGTCACGGATGACGTCGAGATCGATCTTCTCACAGGCGACCTTTTTTCTGAGGTAGTAGCTGAGGAGCTCCTCCTCAGTTGGGTGGAAGCGGAAGCCCGGAGGTACGCATGACTGGCCGTTGACGGAGATGCTCATTGGGGCCTCCCTGAGCGCCACCTTGTTGATCGAAGATGAATAATTAGCAGGGATGAAAGGTGGAATGAGAGGAAGGACAATTATAATTGAATGGAGAATGATTAAGGTGGGAGGGAGGGGATTAAAGGTGAGTGTGGTGGGGGTGAGAGTGGAGGAAGGAGAAGGCTCGTATTTATATTGTTGTTAAAATTAAACGAAGAGGTGGAGAATATAAATAATGAGAAATGTTTATCGTTTCATCTTCTCTTCATGTACTTGTTGCTAGTGGTGTTAGTTTTGCTGGAACGGAGATGAGCCACCAACCTATATGACTTATTGAGCGAGAAAGATGGTCCCACCCTCCATAGGTGAGGAGATAGAGAGAGAAAGAGAGATAGAGAGAGAGAGAGAGAGAGAGAGAGAGAGAGAGAGAGAGAGAGAGAGAGAGAGAGGATACATCTAAAAACCATGACACCCGACCTTAAAAATCTCCAAGGAAAAGCACAAGCGAAACAACCAGCTGAAGCTTTTGGGTACACGTCTGGTTTGATGGAATGGACAAAATGCAAAGCATTTTTATTTCGTAATTTAATATTAAGTATGTATTAGATAAAAAGTTATTTGAAAATTCAAAGGAATATATTTTAGTTATAATTTTATATAGAACAAAATTCAAAATAATTTCTTAAAAATTCATAATTTAAAATGGAAAAAAAAATTATCAAAGCACCGCACGTGAATTATATGTTTAAAATTATTAAAAACTAAAATCTACTTAATATAAAATTGTTAATTACTTTAAATATTTTCATTAAAAGAAAAAATATGTAACAATATCCCAATTAGATATTAATCAGATTCAATCTTCAAATGCTAGCTAGATTGATTTTAATCAAAATCACTCTGAAAATTATTAAATTTATTTGAAGATGAATATAATATATAATAATAAAACAAAGTCTATTTTGCCGTTTGTAAATATATATGAAAGTTTTGACATTTATCATGATAATTTTCTTACAAATAATTAGATAGAAATTAAAATATCGAGTATGGAAGAATAATACTCACACACTTGCATCACTACTCCATCCCGTGACTTTCAAAGCTGAAACCGAATCTCCAACCTTTAGCAGGTAGAAATTTTTACGTGCGGAGTCCGAACAGGAGAATTGTCTGAATTTGCTGATTATTCACTAAATTTTTGTTGAGTAATTTATAAATAATTAGTAAATACTCATTAAATCAGCAAATACTTAATAAATACTTAATAAATACTCACAAAATCAAAGAACATACTCAGCAAATACTTACAACTTAATATTTACTAAGTATTTTGTTGAGTATTTACAAATACTTAATTAGCAAGTCCGGACGATTCTCTCCGTCTGTATTCCGTACCTAATAATTTCTAGGATGGAGAAATTTAGGATGATCTGCAAATGACATAAAAATTACTTCGCTTAATTTTTATTTCTCTCATAGTTTTAGCCATAAGAGTGAGCTTCTCTTCTGTAACCACCGCAACACCCACTACACCTACAGCTACAGCAAGAGCAACGGAAAGAATAATTCAGGGGAGGAAAAGAAACAATACGGCGAAGACAGGGAAGGAGACTTATTCTAGAAAGAGGAAAAATGGAGGTGATGATGGATGGGGTCGGAGGCTTAGCGCTTTCATGGGGTCCGCCATGCCTGGAAAATTACCTCTGTGCTGCTAGGCCACACCACCGCTATTAAACAACATATAATTATTCCATCCACGTTTCAACTTTGTAGCGAGTATGCAATAATTAATAACAAGCTTTAGAATACCGCGAATTATTACTTCCGGTGTCCGAATCGTCTGGAGGCGGACCTAGGTGGATATATGCACCTGGGTCCAGGTGACGTGGCGTGTCCGAATTCGTCAGGACGCCGGACATAATAATTTTTTGAAATTATTTTTTAATAATTAAAAAAGTGATTCCAAGCGTATAATAACTTGGACAATTATTTTTTGATTGTAATATTGTGTGAATTTCTTATTATAATCTCAAGTTTTTAAAGTAATTTGATTAAATTATATATAATGGATTATTAGTTAATGGTGTGCATGGAAATAATTTTTAGGGGGCTTTACATACATACTACTTTATTTCATGCTATTAACATATCTAACATCTAAAATATTAATATTACATGACTATAACTCATAGAACAAATTTGTGTGCATGGAATGAAATATTAAAGTTTATAGGATGATATGAATGGTAGAAATAAATTATATGAGTTGTATATTTGATATTAAAGTTGTATATGAATGATAAGCATGTAATATTAATGTTTTGATTGTTAGATATGTAAATAGTATTAAATAAAGTGGTATGTATGTAAATTTCCCTAACTTATAATCAAAGATGTGTTTAATGTTGTTGTGTGGTAATATTTAGGATTGTTTATGATAAATTTAGTTTTTGTTTGAGATGACTGTAAAATTTGATAAAATTGATTTTAAAATTGCTGTGGAAAAAAAATTAACTTAGTTCTTTTGGTTGCAAAAAATAACTTTCTGTCAATAATTCTAAAATGTAAAGAGAAAGGGCAAAAAAGTAGTAGCCAAATGAAATTGTGGCTGTCACCTAAAAAGTAAAGTAGTGTAAAAGTAGTCCCGAACTTACCCTTACTCAAATCTTTATTAACAATATAAAAATATTTTAATCACGCATTAAATAGTTACAATTATCTTAAAAGTTCTTTTTTTTTTTGGACTAATATATAAGGGTCTTGTTGGACGATTACACCTTCTTGTAAATGTTGTTGTAAATCTATTACGAAGAAAATAATATTTTAAAAAAATATTGTAAATAATAGCTTCATAATATAATTTTTTTTTTAAAAACAATATGACAACAGTAGCTAAACATAACTTTAATTGAGGCCTGAAAAGGCAAAACTGTAAGAAAATGATCCCAAATTGATTCGAAAAGTATAATTGATGATATCATTCTTACTAATAATTTTATAAAACGATTGGCAAATATTTAATATTAAATAATGCTTGTAATATTTAGATGATTGTTGCTTAAAATTCCGTAGGGTAGATTTGTTTTTTTTTTTTAAATTATAAGAAGAATAGTTTAGAAAATTAACAGATTAAAAAACTCCAATCAAAATTTATTCAAAATCTATCATGATATATATAGCATTTATAACGACAGTTATGCATATAAATTTTGAAAATAAGTATAATTTTTTTTTTAATCTATATATGAGAGCGAGAGCCGCCCGAGCCATCCTCTGGTCCATGACTATGTAAGTCTAAATTTAGGGATAGATTCTATAGATATGATATATTATTATTTTAAGACTAAAATTTCATCAAGAGTGAAAAGTTTTTTTGTCTACTCTAAGTGGAAATTAAAATGCATCGCACACAATACCTAAATGATGTGAATGCTCATAGTCGTTTAGTTTAGCAAGTCCAGCTAGTTATATCAGAGTAACAGTTTGCATAAGAAGGGAAGATTATTGTGTCCGGACACCGAACGTGTCCAGAGACCAATAAAAAAGCGCCATATCACTAGGCTCTCGGTGCCGCGCGTGTTCGGTACCGCGCTCGATACCGATAGCGGTACCACTCGGTACTGCTGTCCGGACAACTTATCGATAAAATTTCTGGTGATATGTCATATGTGATTGTAGTAAAGTGATTGAGTCGATAAAAGTTTAATCACTCTAACTTTGTACTAATTGTTGATATTATAAATTCTTTTCGACGCATAATTTTTATCTTTAATATTTTTTTTTCACTTAAATTTGAATATTTATTTATTGATTTTGTTACATATTTTACGCTAGTATTGTAACGGCAAGTCGGCAACGGTAAAAATTTTTCTAAATTTGTAAGTTTTTGGTAAACATATGATTTCTTATCCTCGACCACTCTCGACTTATAAATTCATTTATAGTAACATTTTATTTAAGACAGTTTTTTTTTATTATTTTTTAAAATAAATTTTTTATATAAAATTAATTTTTTTAAAAATTAAAAACTGTCTTAAAAAACATTAAGAAAACCGACTCAAACAAAACTGAAGTCCAACTTAGATTGCTACTCTCAGTTGGTCTCCATAGATAACTTTGGGTAGTTAATATCATAACTAGGGATGTCAATTCAGGTCGACGGATCGGGTTTGGGTCGAACCCGACAATGAACCGCTGCTATTCGACACGACCTGAACTCGAATCCTTTTTTTCAAACGGGTCAGATTTTACAACCCGAACCCGACACGCCAAAAAATTGAGTCAACTCGACTAGACACAGATGACCAGTTGTTGGGCAAAAATTGCCAGCAAACCCAGGAATCACGGCCATGGGACGTGGCGGTGGCGGCGTGCGACCAGAAAAGATTAGGCCTGTTAGGCGGTTAGGGCTTGCTGCGCAGGACCACTGGCGAGTGGATTGCGGTCGGCGCGACGACGTCTGGACACCGCGTTGTGCACGACTGTCTCGCGGTGAGACTGCTGGCAAGCAAGACAACCACAAACGCATTGGCTTGATGAATGAGGCTCGTTGGCCTGAGCCTGATGCCCTGACGATGATACTACAACGCTGGTCATGCATGACACGACGGAGATGTGAGTACGCGACTAGATGTTGTCAAGTTCTCGGGTCAATCCGAATTCGACCCGTAATGCAAACAGGTTGACCCGAACTTGAAATTTTTTGAGTCGGATCTGAATTAGGTTTCGAGTCGTGTTAAATATTGACACCCTAACCATAACGTGTTTCTTGATTACAAGCGGGATTTAATTATATAGAATTGGTTGGCATTTGATGATCGTTCTGACGGCATAGCTCAAATTATATTAAGGAAAAAGTTTACAAAGCATAAAAATAAAAAAATAAAAATAAAGAAAAACCCCTGAACGTACCTAAGGATAGACCAAAAGAATCAAACAAAACTAAATGATATAGAAAATAGAGGGGAAAACTTACCAAGAATAGCCTTAATAAAATTTCATGCAGAATGAGCGTGATTGCCCTAAGATTTATAATTATATTAGTGCTTTCATATTATATCATAAACTACAATAATCTCAGCATAAATTCAAAGACAATCAAGTACATTCTGATGTAAATTATGTTAGAATATTTTTACCCATTTTTTTCTATTTGGTGGATTACTAGTAGGATCAGATAATTCTCTACTTATCTTCACCTCAAAATTGATAGAGTAGTTTAAATTTAACCAGTAATAAGGCTATAAAATACT